AGAACTAATGGAAAGAAGATAATTTGGGTTATCTGATGGAGTACAGAACCATATAATAGAAGAGAAAACCATATAAGCTTCAATATGTAAAATATGAAAACATGAATACAGAATATAAAATAGTGATGGAAAATTAAAGTATGCCTATGGAGATTGTGCCAAACCCTGAATTGTTTTGCTGCTAACTGTGAACAGTGCAACAACTTTAGTACTCTGAATTTTTATACACATAAGTGTGGGACATTCATGGGCTGCAAAGAGGGTGCCAGAGAGAAATTCAGATAAATAGAGCTTAAGATTTAAGGTGTTTACGCGGAGAGTGGATACAAATGGTACCAGAGGAAGTTAGTTTAAGCTGTTTGTGCAGAGACTAGATACAAAGGATGTCTAAGAGGAAGTTAGCTAGAGTTGTTTGTATGGAGATTAAAGACTAATAGTGAGAAAGGAAGTTAGCTCAAGTTATTTATGCTAAGATAAGATACTAAAAAACAGGATATCGTGTCAGGACATAAACAACTTGTAAATAGGGTGACCTTTAAAATGATTGGTTGGTTCCTTCACCCCCTCCTAGCGTTTTGAGGTTTTCTGGTATAAAAGAGACTTACTGCCTATCAATAAATGAGTTCTTGCTTGACTTGACTCCCCACTGGGAGGCTGGGGAACTGGCGAGAGGCACTGCACTTGCCTTTCCTCGGTTCCAGGCCACCTCTTCACAGGTGACCTAAGTTCCTGGTGGGGCAGGTCCCCACACATAAAATTTTCTGAGGAGCCTAGATCCTCTGTTCTTTTTTTGAAAATACACTACCAGTATGTTTGCTTTGTAGACTTCCTGGATTCCATAGTGCAGCTGTGTTTAATGCAGCCTCAGACTGTATTAGTTTATATTAGCCACGTAGTTAATTGGTGCTGATGTAACATTTTCAGAAATGTATAGAGTGTACTTGATCATTCCCATCCTCATTACCATGTTTTCCCTTTTCCTTCCCTGGGTCATTTTCCTTTTTCTATAGAATCTCATTTCTACTGTCATGACTTGCTAAGCATTTTTAATTATGTCGTCTCTGTGGGGAAAAAGTAGCTGAAGAAATCTGAAAAATCATTAATATAAAGAGAGTTTTAGGAAAATACCTGGACTCCAGAATTCCCAAGAAGATAAGGTCAGCTGCATATCTTAATGTACAAATGAAAGAGACCAGTAATGCTAAAATTTGTAAACAGGAGACTTAATCTAAGTAGTCACATTGCAAGTAGCACAAGAAATCTAGTGACATTATATCTATATTAGAGTTCCTTGATAAGATCATCTCTACCTTGCAAGGTGGTCTGATAAATTTTTAATATTTTTCATACCCTTAGGAGACCTATGCACTTCTTATAAGATGATTTATCTACAGTGTTCATCCTCAGTCTAATGGACATTTGCCTTCATTGGGATAGTCTGTCCTCCAAGGATTTGCTCTTTCTACAACACAAGTTGTTAGCAAATTCAGGACAATGACTTCTCTCTTAGCCCTCAATTTCGTAAACCTATGTGAAGATTCAGTATTTTGAAGTTTTTAAGCACCTGTAATAGTAACATCCCTAAAATGTCGACTAGATTTCCCCTTTTAGCTAAACTTTCAACTCCAATGTATAAGGGAACAATATAACTGAGACCGTACATTCCTTATATGTCAGTGAACAAACACATGTATGCATTTAATTTTAATTTCAATGACTAAAGACACAATTGTAGATATTCTGAAAGAGAATAATCACTTGTAGCTTATGAACCAGAAAGCACATATTATTTTAGGTTATAATATTGTAAAGTATATTGCTTTGTTCCCTTACCTATTAGGAAGACGGAATGTTTTAGAAAAGAAAGAATTAAAATAAGGACTCAAAGTCTCCATGGACACCTCATGGAAGTTAACACGTAGCAATAATGCTGTAAGATCAGGTTAAGTTATTTGGAGAATAAAGACAAGGCTACTGATCTAATAGAGTAGTTGAGAAAAATGGAAGAAGCAATTTTAAGTGTGGAGTTTTATATGTATTTGTAATGTTATATTTGTAATGGTATATAATTTGATAGTTTCTTTTTCACACATCTGTGATTTTTTTTTAAACAAATTTCTTTCTAAATTGGTGTTCACAATGGGATCATAACTATTTCTTAGTGTTGGCATGTTAAATCTCTCCTGACTTATGAAGAACTGAGGAAAATTGATTGTATAAAATCAATTGTGTGGAAGGTATTTTCAGGATCAGAAGCAGTGGTTAGGGCACACATCTTAAAGTTTCAATTGACCTTCTTAAACTATTTGGAATCTGGATATTGTATAATGACACCTAAAACAGATAAATATAATTATTAAAGAGTTTTATCTTCCTTACCTTTTTGCTATGAAAGAAGAGGATTTATTTTATTTATCTTCGTATTGTTATTATAAAATAGACCTTGTGCCTAGATAAACTAATATAACTATGAACCAACGTGCTAACTCAAATTATTCATTTAAAAATGGTACTATAATTAGAAAATATCAGAATTAGTGACAAATATTTACATATTCTAAGTTGCAAATGGAAATGTTAGTTTTCAAGAAATCTGTCTACTTATGTAAGAATGTACAAAGAGTGGGTAAATGGACATATGATGAAGAAATCCTAGAAAAATGAGAATTGCTTTTTGGTCATATGAACCTTAAATCGTATATCCCAGGAATTAGAAGCAAAATCCATATTGGTATCATTTCATTACTTCTTCTAATGACTTGCATTTTATAATTATTTTGTTTTAATGTAAGATTTTGTTGGCTGCAGTTTCTACAAAAACTTAAGGAAGGTAATGAGTTCCTTCCTGTCAAGGATGAGGGCATAAAGAAGCCCTGTTATGAACACAAAACATAATCCTATGCAGAGCTTGAGTAGTGATCCCCTAAATGCTGGCATCAGGATGAGCATCACTATTAAAGATCTGCCCCAACCGTCACATGGTCTTACTATTTTCTTACAGATAAGAATTGGTTGATAAATGCTTTACTCAAGCACCATGACTATTAAAAAAAAAAAAAAAAGAACTGGTCTTTCACCATTTAATTGGCATATTAATGATAGTCCTACTCAGCAAATCATCTCATTAAGCTACCTTGGGGGACACTTTGCCACTAGTTATCTTAAATCATTCCCCTGGTACTCTTTTTTCTGCAAATTAGACAGTCTACAAATGAATAATTGAGATTTTAATGCCTAGGGGAGTATTTGGTTACACCCACTTTAATTTTTTTTTTCTATTCCCTAGGAATAGCAATTAGGGGATTAAAACACCTTCTTGTCTTACGTTGAATAGAAAACGAAATTGATTTACATGTGAGAAACATTATTCCTTTTGCGTCCTTACAATATCAGTGTAAAATGACATGTGGATTTAATTGACCCCATTAAGAGTTAAATTATCGGTAACTCAGAAGAGACTAGTTTACCAAATGCTCGATTTTCAGAAATAGCCTACTGAAAAATTAGAAACTTTATACAAAAGTCTGAAAATCCCATAATTTATATTTTTGGACAGTTTTGGGTGTATACATGAAAGAACATCCTGCTAGAAGATTAACTTCTGTCCTAGAATGATCTAAGTATCAGCTGGCATAATCTGTCTTTCATATGTGACCTCATTCAGATACAAACTAAAATTTATCTGTAGCCCCAGTTCACAGTTTCATAGACTATCCCTGATTACTGGGATCATGCCACGGACACAGGGCATGCAAATATCAACAGCTTTATATAGCCCCTGCCTTTAGGCAATAAAAACATAAATAAAATTAGATTAAAAAAATAATACAGGGGACTAGAGAATTGTCATAGCAGCTGTGACTACTAACTACCCTTGCAGAGTTTAGTTACCAGCACACTTCTTTTGTGGCTCAGAAATTCCTGTAACTGCATTAATATAGGATCTAATGCCCTGCTCTAGATTCAGCTTTCTTCAGTATGAACACACACATATACACACACCCAGGCATGTGACATTTGGAAAGCTTTAAAAGAATCTGATAGAAACAGTTAATGTATCAGAAACTTTTATATATTGAAAAGATTAACATGGTAGAGTCTAATGATTACCTTGTTTTAGACAATTTAATTCAGATAATTAGGGGACTGTTTTCTTCTTTATTAATTGTAATAGTTTTGATTTTTTTCAAATATCAACTGCTCTAAAATTCTTGCAGAATGAATCAAATAATATTTAGATGATAGCTTTGTAAGATAAAAGCCAGACATAGTAGTCTTTAAACAGGACATTGTAAAACACAGGCCTGAAATCACAAAATTCAGGTGAGTTTACTTAGTTTTGCTGTAAGATTAGTGTGATACTGTGTGTATATCAGGTTTGAGGTAAAAAGGGAGACTGACTGGGTAAGGGGAGGAGAGAGAGAGAAGCAGCAGAGGGAAGACAAAGAAAAAAAAACAAAACAACAACAAGAAACAACAACCCATGCTTGGTATTTCAGTGTTCGTGGGAGAGAAAACAATTGGAGCGTATTACTGAAAATTTGTCTGCTATATTGTCCTTGTGTCTTAATTCATTTTATGTCATGAAAAACACTACTGATGGTATATATCTATAAACAGATTCCAGGATTTACATCACAGATAGTTATCCTACTTCAACAAATGTTAATAATAGTCCCTGGCAATTATTCAATGATTCATCTGTTCTATTAACAGTCTAAAAGTGATTGTAAACCAAGTGTCTGTGTGAGAAATAAAGAGAAATATTAAATAACTTGGATCTAATTACTACATGATTAATTTGCAAAATCACCAGTCCTTACCTTTTATGTAGACAACTATTCAAACAATGCTGAATTCATTAAATTCGCAATTTCACATATCCATTTTTAGAAAACTGAGATAAAGAAACTCTTTGCATTATTCCCCAAAAAATTAAATTTAAAGTGCAACCTTTTCAGAGCTCTCTGATCCAAAAGTTCTTGCCTGTCCTTCCACAGAAAGATAAGGAAGACCAGTGGCTGGAGAAGAAGGTTCAGGGGAATAAAGACCACATCATTTTGGAACATCTGCAGTGGACGATGGGCTATGAGGTGCAAATCACAGCTGCCAACAGACTGGGGTACTCTGAGCCCACCGTGTATGAGTTCAGCATGCCCCCAAAGCCGAACATTATTAAAGGTAAGCAAGATGGTATCCTTTCTTACAATTAGCACTCTATCACGTTTTACCCCTTTGGTATGGTTTACTAATAATGAAAATTAAATTAGATGCACTGAAATGTCATTTCTATTTTTCTAATCATGACTATTGTGGCACGTCATAATGAAGTTGCACAGTGCTTACCATGAGATGTTGGGTTGTTTGAAAACGATGCTTTGACATCTGTAGCAGGACCACTGAACTGGGGATGATGAGTAGATGGTGAGATGGAGATGGAGCAGATTGGTGAGAAAGACAGATGAAACCAACCTAAAAAAAAAAAAAAAAAAAATGATGCTATGGGAAGGAACACTTGCAAAGACAACTGCTCTGCCAACCACCTGGGAGCTTGTTTGCCAGTTTTGCTTAGGTTTGTCTACAGCTGAAGACAAGCTCACCCATGCCTGACCTATAAAGTTGATATTGAAAACAAAATCACTGAGGCAGAAACAGTTTAAATGCAATTTCACTGAGAGCTAGAGCTGGAGTGCCAAGGAGGGTCAGATGTATCAGGGAACTTTTAATCTGTTTTTAATACAAACAAATCAAGGATCTCTGAGGCAGGTATAATACTTATATAATTGCACATTGATATGCTAATAAAATTACCTAGTTATTAAAATTCTTCTCAGATATATTCTAGCAAGAAAATAAAGCCAGGGCATATGCTAGTTCAAAATAATATTCAGCTCTCTTACTTTGTTGTCAGAGAAAACAATTTTTCTTCAAGTTTTAATATTATTATTTGGTTTATGAGTATATGTTTATAATATATTATATTCTTATATATCTTATTATATTTATAAGTCTATAGATATATAAAATATATATAGAGGTGTATATAAGATGAGAACAAAATATTGATTCATAAAAACCTGGCATATTTCACTTGTAACACAATATTATTATTAGAACACAATATTTTTCAACTAAGGAAAAAATCACTTTGGTTATATTATTTACCTTATAATTTCATAATATCACAATTTTTAATATGCTTGTCTTTTAAAGTTAAAATGTTTGATATAATTAATCTTTGATTAAGCTGTATTATACAGATTATACAGTTTAAAAATAATTAAACATGGGACAGAGTGTTGCTTATATTTATTCACAAATACTTCAAAATATGAATTTTTTTAAATATAGAAATTTGGATCCTTCAGAAATATTATGGGTATCTTCAAATATTATTTTTCATTTGAAAAGTATTCCTGTGTTATCATATTATATTCTTAAGTGTTAGGGAAGGAAGAACTCATTTTTTACATATAAATTTACAAGATTAAATGATTGATTGATCTCAAGTGTACTTGATGTATATATGCTTAAATCTTACCCTTGGGAAATAATTGAAATGATTGATTTTCCTAAGTAAAAGTGTTTGATTATAGTATCACCTATCACTTTTATTTGTCCTTGTGAATTTGAAATACCAATAACCTCTATAATTATATTATGATTGTAGTAATTATATTCCATGCGTGTCTTCTAAACATAAATTAAATATAATCTCAAACTGAATCAATGTAGCTCACAAAGAAGTCCAAAGTATGTCCAACTTCCTGAACCCTTAAAATAGTTCATATAGTCAGTTGAAATTATGGTTGTTTTTTAGACAAATATTCTTTTAATTTCAAACAAAAATTTCAGTGCTTTATAAACAAACATGAAGATTTATATGAAATAATAAATATAAATTTTAATAGATAAAAAGGTAGAGTTATATAAAATTCTGTTGTCTTGTCTTAGAAAATCACTATAAAAAGATAGTAATTCATATTTTTATATATTTTTTAAAAATTAGAAGAAAGGAGCTTGAATTTTCTCAATCAAAAAAGTGAAAAATATTTAAGAAGATGGAAATGCAAATTTTCATCAGAATATACTGTATACATGTACCTCATTATCATACTGTAACCCAAAACTACTTATATTGCCTATCAGAATTATTACCCTATAAAATATGAGATAGAATTTGAATAATTTAATGTCAATACAGTATGCCAAAAAATGCAGCTATGCTCTTAATTGTTGTGCTCTTATAATTCTACACATAAAAAGGCAAATAAGTAGGAAAGTAGCAGCAGTGTATACATGCATGTATATTCAGATCAAGAAATAAAGTGACACACTCATTCTAAATGTATTTTTCTTTTAATTTGGAAACTTTGTAATTTAACACTCCATAGTCAAACCTTTGGATTTGGATGAAAAATGGAGAAAATTACGATTTTCTTTCAACCAGTCTCTGTACGATTAGAATCAATTCATTTTTCCCTCATGGAATTTGTATTGAGGTTGTCCTTTTGACAAGTACTGAGGTGAGAAACAAGGATTCACCTGTGCAAACAGTGGAATCATTAGCTGATCACAAATGCTTACTGGAGTAATTCAGGAATCAGACACTCACCAGCCCAACAGTCAGTGAACACAAGGATGAGGTGTATCTCTCAAACACATTACCATGAACACATTAGCAAGGAATCACAGTTTATGAGACTAAAATGGGATAATTAAATGTTTCCCAAAGGAGAAACTTTGCAAAGAAACTTGAAATAATTAAATTCTAGGTTTGCATATTACATGGAAGATGTCTTTGACAAAAGTGATTGTTTCCTTTACTAACTAGAGAAAAAAAATTGCCATCTGAAAGAAAATTTGGACATGTTTGCCTCAAGATAATTCTAGGGTTAGAGCCGGGTCTCAAAGCCCCATGAAAACCAGGTGATTAACTTTCACAGATCTTAAAGGGAGTTAAGAAAAAGTAGTTTGTAACAGGTGTAGTCATATAGTTTATGTTCATGTGACTAAGTACAAATGATGAGATTCTTAAGGCAAGGCAACAGGAGGAAGGAAGAGAAAACATCAGTTTCAGCCACACTGTGGGAGGAAACGCACAAGACATTTCTACTAGACTAGATGGCTAATAATAACAAACCAGGTGACAGTTAGCTTCTTTGGAAGCATCTTTTCTTCAGGTGAATAATTTTGTTGTACAGTTTCATTTAGAGAATGATGGCCATATAGTCTTATATTTATTAAGCATAGAGTGTCCATTTATTAATTAGATATGCCTATTGCAGATGAGGGAGTCATGACTTTGGAAATTTACATTATGAGGCTGTGAGAATTAACAGGTGAATGAATTTTGTGGCTTAGCAGGGAAAAAACCCAATCAAAAATAATATCTAAATTCTATGAAGAATTTGTGTTTGTGATATTTCTTGAAATTTTCTCAGTCCCGGAAGTGTGTAAGATTTCAATAAGGTGTCTTGGTTGGTGGAGAAAGAATCCAAACCCAAAGCACCAAGACCTGTGATACAAGAAGAAGGAAAAATGTATTTTCACCCACCACCTTCCCCAAAATTAAGGTTTGCAGAGTTCCTGGAGAAACAGAAAAGTAATACCTTGAAAGTTAGGGTAAGGCTTTATGTCCTGAAGTCTGTTAATGAAGTGTGAAATGCTGCTGGGAAAACGAAATCGAAATATACCCTTGTCATTTCATGCAGCTTTGCCAGAGTGATTCAGAGAGGGACTAGTAAGAAAGGGTGTGCACCCTTCTTTGTTAATGGTTACAAGGAGCTTTTCTGTCAAACTGTGTAGAGGTAAGGGAAAACATGAGAAAGACATTTAGGGTGGAGAAGTGTGGACTGTTTCATATCAGATGTAATAAGAACATAGATGCAAACAGCATGCCTACCAAGCGATCTTAGCAGATAGGAGATGATATCATTCTCTCTCTACTGGGCATTGTGTAAAAAAGTCAATGTATCCAAGTTGCAAAGAAAAAAAAAAACATAGTACAAAAGTTTCATAAAGTATTTTCTTAATTTACTGATTGAATCCAGTGATTGACAAGGGCTATTAAACCATGTAGAAGGCATGGCTTACGAGACTAAGAATTATTACAACCTTGAGGTAATCCTTAAAGTTGTGATAATAAGAATTTAGAAGCATTTAAATACAAAACATTCAACAGAGTTAAGTTGTATTTAAAAATGATCTTCACTGATTTTCTTCACAACTCTTATGAGTTATTTCTCCAGTTTTAAGTAAAGAATAGATTCATGCTCATATTTGAAGTGTTATGCATAGGAAACAGGTAAATCTAAGTCCTTTGGTTTAATATTGGAAGAAGAAAATTTAAGGATTATATTAATTAATTTTTGTATATATTGTATTATATAGTGTCCATATATAGATATATTTTGTAATAAAGTTTATGGCTCATATGCATTTACATATGCATAACTTCCAAATAATGGACTTCTTCTAGAGTGCAGATATAAATTATATTAATAAAGTATTACTCTGTAATAATCTGCTTGTATTATATTAATATACAATGTGTTCATTTTTAAGTTCTTTTAAAGCATTTTTCTATCTATATATCTTAGTAGACATTATAATTTCCTCTAATTCATCATTCCAATTTTAAAAACAGTTTTACAGCTATAATATATGTTATTTTGTTTAAGGATAAGTTTATTTTGTAAAACACATCTTTTGTTTATGGATGAATTTTGAGATTTCAGGGAACTAAATCTATTTTACAATTATTGGGTAAAATCAGAATATTGGGTACTTCTTTCAAATTTATTGTTATAAAAATGACTATGGCTTATTTTTTGTAGTGAACTTTCAACCAATAATTATACCACTATATTTATGAATTGAACATAATATTTTAGATGTTTTAGTGAATTATCAGACATCAATATACATTGTAGAACACTGCACAAATTGTTTAGCATCTAATGTGTTCAATGTTGTTTCTATTAAGTAACACATCTTTATCAATTGCTCCTTTTTCTTGCTGATCCTTTGAAGTGAAAGCATGTATGATTTTTGTCTCACCATGTTATTAGAGCAAACAGTTCATTTAATACATTATTAGAAATTAATAATAGAGATGTTCTATCATGTGAAGACCTGTAATGTACAAATATACTCTTCAGTCTGGATAAGCTGAAGAA